TATAAGAATGTATATTTGTGAATGTATTTTTTGAAAAAGTTTTTTATTTTTCCCATTCAGATACATTCACAATTATACATTCTTATAAGTGCTATTAACATTTATCTATTAACCATTAATGTTTATCACTATCTTCTTACAAATATATAAAATACAGTTTGGGTCACTTTCTTGCCACCCCATATCTCCATCTTATTCTGCAGCAACCTTGCTCGTTCCGATTTCTCAACCTCCTTTCTCCCCCTTCTTCTTTGCTTCTCCCTCCTCTTTACTTCTTCCCCTCTTTTCCCCCCAGTCCTGTCTTCTCCTCCTTCTCCTCAACCTCTCTCCTACTCTTACTTCTCTCTTTCTTCCTCTGCTTTGCCCTTCCTTTCTTTTCTTCCTCATCCTCCCTCCTTTCCGTTCTTGCCCTTGCTTATTGCTTTCTCTGATGGGTTCTTGGGGTCAGTGATCCCAACATAAAAATAATTTTCTCTGTAACATTTTGCTTCCCATTATTAAATCCATTTGTACCATTTTTTGAAATTTGTATGCTTGCATTTTAATACTTTCCTAACACCACCACCCCCGATTTAATAATGTGTCATCTGGGTTCTCTATTTTATGCTTTGTTCCTTTCTATTTCTATCTCTTTTCTAACTAATTGTAAAATCGCTCCAAAAGTACTTTTCGAAGTACTTTTTTCCAGCTTTATTGGTATTGTTCGAAACAAAAATAATATTCCTGGTAATATATTCATCTTAATTACCACTATTCTTCCTATGGTAATTGTAAATTTTTCCATTTCTCTACATTTCAATTTGATTTTTTAATTTATAGTAATTATCTTCCTAATAGTTACACACCTCAAAGTCAGCCCAAATATTTTACTTTCTTTACTATTTGAATATTTAATTTCTCCATTATTTCCTTTTTCTGTTATATTCTTCCCTAAGATTTTTGTTTTATCTTTATTAATTTTGAATCCTGCTACTCCTCCATACTCTTCTATTTGCTCAAGTAGCTTTGGTCCTGTTTCTATTGGATCTTCCATAATAAATACTAACTCATCTGCAAATGCTTGTAATTAATATTCTTCTTTCTTAACTTTCATTCCTTTTATTTCTTTGTCTTGTCTTACCTTTTCATTCAAAACCTCTAACGTGAGTATAAATCATAGTGGAGATAGGGGGCACCCTTGCCTGGTCCCTTTTCTAATAGGCACTTTTTTCTCATATCCTCATTTATCATCACTTTAGCCTATTCTTTATAAATAGTTTTAACCATATTTATAAATTTCTCCCCAAAATTCATCATTTGCAATTGCATTATCATAAATTGCCAATTTATATTATCCAAAGCTTTCTGTGCATCCAAAAATAACAATGCCATTTGCTTCTCCGAATGTGCTTCATAATATTCTAGTGCATTTAGTATAATCCGCATATTATCTCTGATTCTGTCTCTTAGGTAGAAAACCATTTTGATCTGAATGTATAAATTCATTTAACAGTCTTTTGAGTCTTTCTGCCATTATTGATGCAAAGATTTTATAATCCACATTTAATAAAGAAATTGGTTTATAGTTCTTTATTTGCTGCAAATCTGATTCTTCTTTTGGAATAAGAGTTATATAGGCCTCCAACCAAGAGTCTGGTATTTTTGCTTTCAATAACAATTCATTAAATACTTCCAGCATTACATTGCTTAACACCTCTTACATTGTTTTGTAAAATTCCTCTGGCAACCCATCCGGGCCTGGTGTTTTCCCCTTGTTTTGTCTTTTTATTGCATCCATTACTTCCATCATTGTTATTCTTCCTTCAGTGCCTTTTTAATTTTTTCTGGAATCGGGTGTTTCCGCTTTTTCTAAGTATTGTTTTATCTTTTCCTCTGCCACTGTCTCCTGTTGGTATAATTCTTTATAGTAGTTTTCTACAATTTTTTTCTTTTCTTCCTTTTTGTAACAAATATTCTCTTATTAGTCTGTTAATTGGTTTTCTCTCTCTCTCTCTCTTTTTTCATCTTGTACGCCAACTATCATCCTGGTTTGTTTGCATTTTCAAAAAAGTTTTGTCTTGTTCATTTTATTTTATTTGCCACTTCTTCATTTTCCATTAAGTTCAATTTATGTTTTTGCAGGTCCATCACATTTTTAGTTTTGGTATTTTGTAGGGTTTTTTTTGTAGTTCTATCTCCAATATTGTTCCTCTATCTTTTTTCGTGTTTGTCTATTCTGTTAGTTCCTTTTTCCTGAATAAGTCATTGCTAGTCATGTAATATATGCTTTGCTGGTATCCCATACATACTGCAGTGATGTGTCTTCCTTCCTGTTTTCCTTTTTAAAAAATTCAGTTCTTTTTCCATATATTGCTGGAATTCCTTTTCATTTAGTAAATTTTGATTTAACGTCCATCTCATTCTCATTCTCTGACCTTTCCACATCATTATTATTGGGTTATGGTCTGCCCATGTACTCATTGCTATATCAGTCTTATGTGTTTTGGCAATTAGATCTATTGTCATCAATTCCTATCCTTGATCACAACATTCTATTTGAGTAAAATGTATATTGTTTTTTTCTGTCAAGTGTGTTCACCACACATCTTGTAAGATTAATTCATCCATCATTATAAAGAATGTTTTAGAAAGCGTTCTCCTTAGTTTATTGTTTAACTTTGTTGTTTTATAGTCCAATTAATTATTTACAATTAAAGTCCCCTAGTATGCATATTTCTTCATATTCATACTCTTATTATCTTTTTGTGTAATTTTCCATAAAATTCTTCTTGATTCTCATTTGGTGCATATATTGCCACCATCAATATTTTTTTTACAGTTTATCGTTATTTCCACTATCAATATTCTTCCTTCTTCATCTTCAAATATTTGCTTTGATTCTATTGACTTTTTAATATATAGTGCAACATCTTTTTTACTCTGATCAGCAAGTGTCGTGTACAGTTTTCCCAATTTTGGATGTCCAGATATTTTCTGTGTGGTTTTTTTAATATGCACTCCTTGCAGGCATATTATATCTAATTTCAGTTTCTCTAATTTATTAAATGTCCTTTTCCTTTTTATGCTCAAATCTAGATCATTTATGTTTATTGAAATTATTTTTATTCTTCCATATCTTAGTTATGTGTAGGTTTAGTTGATCTAGTCACTCTTATCTCTTTTTGTTCTTTCATCTCTTTTGATCATGCTCCTTTTCTTAGTGCCCTCTCTTCTTGTTCTTTACTTAGCTCTCTCAATTCTTTTTTCTTCTTCTTGCAATTTTGTTCCTCTTTCTTCTCTCAGTCTCTCTTCCTCTTGTAGTCCAAAATATTGTTCGTAAAATAGCTCTGCTTTCTCTAACGTGTCCAGTTTATGTCTTTGTTCCTGCCAAGTCACTAGTATCCCTTCTGGTATTAACCATCTAAAATTCATTCCTTTTTTTAAATTAGGCATTTGATCAGGAATTGATATTCTCTTCTTAGATCTCTCACCCTTCTTGGTAGTTGTTTAAGAACTACTATTTCTCTGGATTTATATTGTATTGTGGTATTTCTTGCAGCCTGTAAGATCGCTGTTCTCAATGTTTTCTTAGTGAACCTTACATGTACCTCTCTGGGCAGCTTATTTCTTATAGCATATCTTGTGTGGATACTATATGTTTCATCAATCCCACTTAACACCTTTTCCTTGCTTTCTTTCAATTTGTCCGCTAAAATCTCCGCAATTTTTCCCACTAGATTCTCTCCTTTTCCTCTTTGATATTTTGAAATCTTAAATAATTGTCAGCTTTGTCTACCTCCCAAGATATGTTTATCTTTTCTTGATTTTTATCTTTTATTGCCAGTCTATAGTCCATCTCCTCCATCTTCTTCTCTGTTGTTTCCATTTTTTCCTCCACTTTGTGCAATCTTTCCTTGTTTTTCCCAATTATCTCTCTAACCTCTTTCAGATCTTCATCCACTTTATTTATTCTTTCCTTGAGGTCTTCATACATAGCCTGTAACATACCCTTTAATTCCATACTATTTTTATCTTGTTGCGTTGTCGTGTTTGATGATTTTTGTGTTGTAAGGCTGGAAGCTGTTGCTGTTGAGGAATATGCTATTTTTTTTTCATCTGGATAGTTTATTTTTATAATCCAAATGTAAAGAAAATTTGTAATCCAAGTTTTAAAGAAGTCCTGCCAAAGCACTTTGTATCTTCAAGTATCCAAAATCCGTCTGTTTCAAATCTGATGACTAAAGCTTCAGATTCTTGTTACTCTAATCCAATTTTTGTGAGGAGAACAGAGGGAGGGAAGGAGGGAGGGAGGGAGGAAGAGAGACAGAGAGGGAGGGAGGGAGGGAGAGAGAGAGAGAGAGAACCAAAAGAAAAAAATACTACAATTACAAAAAAAAAAAAAAGATTTTTGATCCCCTTTATTCCCTCCAACTCTGGCGAAAAAAGAAAAAGAAAAACCCAGCAAAACAAACAAACAGAAAAGGCTGGTTTGAAAAGAAAAGTTTTTGTAAAAAAATAAATCCAAGTACAAAAAATTAAATCTCAATGAAATAGACCACTAAAAAATAAAAATAATTCAATTTGTTCTCTTCAGCTCTAATGAAAAAGAAAGTAGGTAAGTAGAAAAAAAAGAAAGGACAAGAATATTGTCCGAAGAAAAATAAATTCTAGTACAAAATTTATGTCCTGATAAAAGCAAGCTCCACAGTTCCAAAACTCCAAAGTTGTAAACAGAACAGCGAGAGAGAGAAAGTACAACAAAAGATAAGCCCACAGCTGATATTTAACATTACATTGTATAGACAACTTTTATGGAGGGATTCTTCAGGAAAAGCATTAAAATTGAACATATTAATTTATGTGAAAAAGATGTCAGTTATCTGAAGTATCATCATATATTTTTTAAGTGAAGACAAGGATAACTTTCTTTAAATGCAAAGCCTAAAAGGGAAGAAAAATTTTGAAGTCTTTGAATGAAGACTATTTTGTTTTCTTGACTTTGTTTTATTTATTTTTTACAGTATTCCTGCCGCTGCACTAGATCTCTTTGATTACATGCTTGCTCTTGATCCCAGCAAACGCTGCACAGCAGAACAGGCACTTCAGTGTGAATTCCTAAGAGATGTGGACCCTTCAAAGATGCCTCCACCAGAGTAGGTGTTTCTTAGTTGAGTTTATTTTCTACAAAATAAAACTCATTTCTACCAGTAGAAGCCAGGTATTACATATATGTACTCACTTTTGTTGCATATTGGATCAATTATGATCCAATTATATTATGGCTGCATTGTGTAAACATATTGTTGAAATTGCATTTATTAATCTCCTAAAGATTTTGCAGTACCAACAACCATAGAACTGAGCCCAGTGAAGGAGTAAGCATCTCAGTAGGCTCACTTCAGCATGTCACATTAACTTAGCAGCAAAACATATCTGGAAAATATTTCAAACTTTATCTGGAAAAGTCTACAACCCAGTAGTGGTCTGTAGTATGCATTCCCTACCCAAGGAACATCTTTGTATTTGTTTACCTTTTTGAAAAATAAACATTCACACAGAAATAACAATAACAATTCTGAACTTCTCAGTAACAGAAGATTTAAAAACAGCAATAAGTTTAGCTAACTGACAAGTAGCAGTCTTTTTGTTGTTGCCCACATATTTTTATTTAATTGAAAATGATGGACTCAAGAGCGGCTCCAATTGTTTCCAGATTTGGTTTTAGAGGGCTGGAAGTCGTTTCCTTCATCTTTTCTAACTTGACTAGTTTTATGAGTCCCACTTACAGTCAAGCACTCTTCTTTTTCTCTGATCTTCAAGGATATGCTCATGTTTCTCCCATTTGCTTTGAGCAACTTAGTGACAGTGATAGAATGCCTATTTTGCATGGTTAAAAAAAAGATGAGATTTCATGAGATAATATGCACACATCATTTAGTGGAATTCCTTTTCCTAATTTTCTGAAAGTAATAGGTAGTAGGTAGAAAAGTCTCAGGACAGTGATCAGTTGCCCAGGTAATTAGTTTTTTTTAACCAGAGACAATGAAAATTCCAGAAAGTAAGGGGTTTTTAAGCTTTATTATTACCTAAAAGCATACAGAATTAAAAGCATAACCTAAAAAGCCTATATACCAAGTTTTTATAGTCTATCAAGAGTTTCTTAATAACAACAGCATACGTACCCCAAGGATGTCAGTTTCAATAGTACCTAGTGCTAGGTTCTGCGCAAAAGCTCCAACAAACAACAGCCTTACAGTTTTTGTCAAATTCTGGTTTGGTCTGCCAGCTGGCTGATATGTTAACACTCTTCTCTTGTTTCCAGATAATGGCTTCTTGAGCTGTCCTTCATAATAGTTAACTACTGGCTCTTTAACTTTTTTGTGGCCTTCTTTTTAAATTTTGCCATTCAAGATCCTTGTGATTATTCTGCGCTAAATAACTGTAATTTCTTTTCTGATAGTCTTCCTTTATGGCAAGATTGCCATGAACTGTGGAGTAAGAAACGTAGAAGGCAAAAGCAAATGGGCATGACTGATGATGCAGCTAAAGTTCCAAGAAAGGATTTATCTTTGGGGATGAATGATAGCAGAACCAACACCCCCCAGGGTTTGCAGACCTCTTCACAACTGAAGATGCAGAGCAACTCTAACATAGCACTTGGTAATTTTTTCATTTTTCTTTACCAAATTAGTTCTAATTTAATAACTGCTCACTAAGTGATCTTTTGAAGTTACAATCATCCTCCAAAAGATGTTCATGACATTCTGATGGCAACACTTCACTACAATTACATGATCACATTTGGGGTGCTTGGTAATTGGTTTAGCCTTTATGGCCAGTTGCAACATTTCAACGTCATATGATGCAATTTATGCACGTTTTGCAAGAAGTTGGCCTTTTCAGTCAGTTTCTGGGAAAAATACTCATAAGAATTCATTGACTCACTTAACAATTGCTGCAAAAAAATGTTTTAAAACTGGTCGCTCCCATTAGTGGCTCAACTTATGACTATTAAGTTTTATGATGTAAATTCTGGGCTCCCTTATTGTCATAAGTAGAAAATTATCTAACTGAGGATTGACTTTTGTTTTTTTAGGAGAGGTCATTTAGACCAAAAGAAACACTGGAATCAAATTAGATAAAATACAAAAGAATCCAAAGATCTGGCTTTCAAAACTTGGAAGTTGGCCAGAAGATTAATTAGTATATACTATAAAATATTTGTCTGATTAATGTGATACTTTTTATAATAAGAATTCTAACTGGCCTTTTTTTCTTTTTTTCCTGTCAATTACTTATCTACTTTATTTCTCCAGCTGGGTTCTACCTTAGATTTCCTTTACCATTGCAATTAACTACTATTTCCTCTTGCTACTTTATAGTAAAAGGAAGAAGAGCGTATGACAGTGAGATTGATTGCTTGATAAATGGAAATTATGTTTAAGAGGCTAACTTTATTTTAGAGGCAAATAATATTAAGCACTAGTTATTAATTCAATTAATTTACATTTATTTATGCATGCTTGCTTATTTGTTAGTGTAACGCTATCAGTACTCACTTATTTCCTGGGTCTTCTACTGCTTTCCTTCCCTTTATATTTTTTTAGCAGACACTGTTGATTTTGCATTTCCTCCATTATCTCCCATCCCAGAATATTTGTGTCTGGAATACATATGCCAGATAAAATCAAAATCTGGCTGCTCTTTGCATAGGTTTGCCCACCTGCAAATAGTATACCTTGACTTTTGAAATTAGAGAAATTGTTTTATTTTATTTTTCCTCAATAGTTGTGTTGCTGGAAAAGAATTTATGAATTGCTGTTCCTGAGACATTATCAAAATAGATTATTTTAGGCATGTTGCTATATTTTCCCATTTTTAAAAGATGAATCCCACTAATAAATAATTGTAACATCTATTTCTTAGGGTTGTACATAAAATTTCAGATTCAAAATACATTCAAAATAACAATTTATTAATATAAAAAATACCCCAGAAATGGTTCTGTCCTGGAATAGGTATTTCAATTTTTCTATCAATTTTATTAGTTTGTCATAATATAAAATATAAAGGAAAAGGAAAATAATGGGAAACTAGGAGATTTAAAAGAAAGGAGGAGAAAAGTGTAGGGTAAAAGGAAAAAAAGTAACGCTTTGACTTCCAATGTTTTTAGTACAATAGAAAATAATAACATTACAGCTTTGACTTGTTACTTTTAGATGGTAAAATATATTAGCTATTTCTAGAATAACAAACCCATCTAATCAATAAAATCCTAAAATAAAGTTTCATTTTTCCCATCTCAAGCACACAGTCCAGAAATGGTTTCTAAATGGAAACAAAGTTAGGTTGTTATTTTCTTTGATTATAACAGTCAATTTAGCCATCTCTGCTTTTTTCCTTTTATGGGAAGTAATAAATAGTTCTGTTTATCTATTTAATCTTTGTAGATGATCATCATTTATAGTAACTAAATTCACTATAGTTCTTCAAATTATTTAACTTTAAAGGGAAAACTTATATAAACTTAATAAAAGGATAAAATTAAAAAAAACAAAGTTTACTTTATTGCCTATTGGTGTGGAAAAATATACCATATTTTTCAGAGTATAAGACGCACCTTTCCCTACCCCCACCAAAAAAGAGGGTGAAAATTTGGGTGTGTCTTATGCTCTGAGTACAAAAATGCATGCGTTCCTCCTGGCCAAATCAATTTCCTGGGCCAGGAGCAGAAGACGACCGCCCTCCGCCTGGGTTGTCTGGAGAAGTGGGAGGCTGAGCGGCAATCCACCTTGCCTTATGCTTCCTGCGCAGCGCCCGCTTCATCTGCTCCTTCTCCAGACGACCGAGGCGGAGGCTGGTTGGCTTCTGTTTCTGGCCTGGGAGACGGAGCTGGCCAGGAGGAACTCATGCCCCGTTTTTGCAATCGTGGAGGAAAAAGAGCATTTCAGGCAATGAGAGGTTCCAGGCTGCGGAGAGCGCAGGAGCAGAAGCCAACCAGCTTCCGCCTGGGTCATTTGGAGAAGGGACCATAGGAAGCAGGCACTGCGTGAGAGGTGTAGGCAAGGCGGCATGCCACTCTGCCTGCCCCTTCTCCAGATGACCCAGGTGGAGGCCGACTGGCTTCTGTTCCTGGCCCGGGAGACGGATCTGTGATCCCTGCAGCCTGGAACTGCCGACCTCTTGAAATGTTCTTTTTCCTCACCGATTGCAAAAACAGGGCATGCGTTCCCAGCAAGCCGCTGCACCTTTGGCTAATTCTGCAAACCCCATTTTTGGAATGGGGAGAAAAGAGTATGCCCTCCTCCTTTTTCCTTCTGGAAAGATCCATCTCCCAGGTCAGGAGCAGAAGTTGACCACCCTCTGCCTGGGTCGTCTGGAGAATCGGGAGGCCGAGCAGCGATTCCATCCCCGATTCCAAAAACAGGGCGTGCGGAAGGCGGCGGATCTGAAACAAAGGGGAGAAATCAGGGAGGGAATCATGGTGCTGCCACCTTTCCTTTCCAATTCCAAAAACCTGGCATGCGGAAGGCTGCTTCGGCTCATGTCATCAAGTGTGGGCTTCGCAGCTGGAGGGATTTACCCTCCCCCCCTGGTACTCTTCCCATTACAAAGTTTCCTGACCAGAGAACCACATGGATCGCTCTCCTGGCAGCTGGCCTGCAAGGACTGCTTGATCAGCAATCCCCCTCAATCCACGCTCTCTTCACTCCCCTGGCCCGGTTTCCCTTCCGAGTCCTTCCCCACCATGCACAGACAAAGGCGAAGCAGCCAGCGGTGGGGGAGAGAAGGAGAAAGGCTGACCAAGCCGTTTGCTGCAAGGACGCTAGCCAGATTAATACCAATGGATGCTGGTAGGCAGAGGCAGAAACTTTTTTTCCTGTCTTCCTCCCCAAAACTTAAGGTGTGTCTTATACTCCAGTGTGTTTTATACTCCAAAAAATACGGTAAATACAGTCTACCTGAATAGATATATAAAATCTATATTTGTATTTTAAATGATTGCAAAAAAGAACTTTCAAGTGAAGTTGAAGACAGTAGAAGTGGTTCTCATTTTAAAATATACTTTATTTTCCAATCTTAACTTGAGAAACAAAAGATTGTATGTGAAACTCTGCCTCTAAAATGAAATCAAAATGTTCATTTTCCCATACTGAGGAAAAGTCAAGAATATTCTTCATATCTAACCACTGTTTAAGTAGTCATTGAAGTGGGTCATAGTCAATTGAATTTTGCTTCAGACTTTAAATATGAGCATACTAAGTGCCTCCTTTCTGTTTTTCTTGTTACTTTCAGTGAAAGCAGGCAGTGGTCAGCTACTAAATCAAAATGAAGTGGCAATTCTCCTAAACCTGCTCCAGTCTAAATCTAGTATTAATATGGCACAATTTGCTCAAGTGCTGAACATTAAAATGAATCCTGAGACTGAGCAACAACTGAATAAAATAAATCTTCCAGCTGGCATTTTGGATGTGGCTGAAAAACAGTCTGAACAACAACAACAGCAGCAGCAGCAGCAGCAGCAGCAGCAGCAGCAGCAGCAACCACCACCACCACCGAAGCCACCATTGCCTCCCTCACCAGACAAAGAGCCTTTAAAACAAACAGCAACACCACAGCTTTCTGTGCAAGCCACTCCATTGACTCAATCTAAAATTAATACAGAAGTTACCCAAGCAGCTGTGCAGAGTGCATTTACTGTTTTGTTATCTCAATTATTAAAAACTCAACAATTGAAGCAAAAAGAAAATTTCCTAGAAGAAAAAGAAAATGGATCAGGAAATGACATGTCATTACAGTCAAGACAGCCTCCAGAACCAAGTACACCAGTATCTGCCAATTGGGAAGATGTAGAATCGCCGGCATCTGTTTATCCCCATCTTATTAAATCATTATACACATGTGCAGGTATGCATTTCGGTGTTGGGAAAATTATATTTAGGCAGGTAGGTAATTTATATGATTGAGAATGTCAGGTTTGCTATTGCTTCTCTCAAACACTTGGATTAGAAATTATTTCTTGGTGGTTTTCTTAGGTTTACAGGCTGCTTCAGTTGCTAATGATTCTTAAGTGGCATGTTAAAATATTATATTCTGTAATAAAGATTAACTTATTTTTCAAAAACTCCTGTGATACCAAATAAATAATACATTGGGAATTTATAGAATTCCTTTATTGACCTTTATATTTTCCTTTTAGTTATAGTTATTTGTAGCAGCATACAAATATATTTTCCAGATACTATGAATACAGAATCAATGCATTTCTGTGTTCATACTCTGAATTGACCCAGAGGAAATTGAGCAGAATGGTATCCATACACATCAGCTTTGCTGATTCCTCCCCTCAAATCCCATGTATCTTTTCAAGGAAAATCTAAAATCTCAAGAAGAGTGTGAGATAGGGCAAAAAGAATTTGAAATAAAGAAATTAGGAGAAATTTGGCAGAGGCATTCCTATGTATTATTTGTTTTTCAATTTATAAGGGTGTCAGACTCCATTGGAACTCTGGGCAGAGTGCAGTATTAAAACAATTTTAAAATGCAACCAGAGAACAACAGGGATCTGGAAATAATCCTAGCCTCCTTCCCCTCCTCCAACTCTAAACATAATATTACAACATTCACTTTAGTCTTAAGACCAGAGGAAAGACCTTTTAAAAGAAAGGACAGGATGGGGCCAAATGAATTTTTGGGAGAATGTTATTTTGGACAGTAGGTGCACATTTGGCTAGAGAAACATATTTCTAGAAGTAATTTTGTTCAAACAAAACTTTGCTCAATCCAATTTTTAATACTTAATAAATATTCTGTATCATTAACTGTGTATTTAATCCTAAACTATATTTCTAGCTACATATTTAATATTAAACTATTTCAAAATTAATTTAGGAGAAGATGACTTGGTGAGACCCCCTGAAATGAAACCTCAAACCCCAGAAGAACGTCCTCGTATCTTGCCACCAGATCAACGACCCCCAGAGCCCCCTGAACCCCCACCAGTTACTGACGAAGACCTTGATTATCGGACAGCAAATCAACACTTACCTTCAATTAGTAGCTCTTCAGGGATGGATCCTCATGCTGGAGTAAAAGCAGCTCTTTTAGAGTTGCTGGCTCATCACCAGGCTCAAACATCTGAGAAACCAGCAACATCTAATGTGGAGTTCCAGTCAAGAGACTCTTTTGTAGCAGGTCCAGAGTATAAAGATAATTTTGCATCTACTACATTCTCTTGTGCCCACTATAGTGGTGGTGATGGAATAGGAAATATATCATCTGGGACATTAGAAAGGGCAAATTTTGTTGGAAATTCAGATGTTCAACCTTTGGAGATCTATAATACTGCTTCATCTCATTCAAGTAGTGCCCTTCACCCTCCTGCCTTTTCAGAACCATTTCACAGCTCAGTAACTCGTTATGGAGACATTTATCTCAACAGTGGTTCCATGCTATTTAGTGGTGATAAGGATCATAGATTTGAATATAGCCATGGTCCCATCACAGTACTGGAAAACAGTGGCGATTCAGTTGGAAGGTCTGGGTCTGAAAGTACTCATTCTCATTCTTTGTCTTCAAAGATGCAGAACTATAGCTATGGAAGTAATTTACAAGAACCTCCTGCCAGTGTCAGCCACATTCATGGACAAACTTGGACTTCTCCTGCTCAAGGACCTGGATATTCACAAGGATACAGGGGACAAATTAGTACATCCGCTATCAGAGGTCGAGGCAGAGGATTGCCATATTAAGCTTCTGTTCTTTTCCCCTGGCCCTCAGGCACGCCATTTATATCCTGGAAAAACTTTTTAACTGTGATTTCAAACAGCAATCCAATAGACTTGAATGATGTTAATTCAGCAGCTTTATTTTTATTCAGAAAGGGATCTTGCATTAGGAAATTGCTTACAATTCATGCTGTTCTGAAAATCCAGATAATTGTATGTCTTTCAAATTCTAGCTATAAATTTTATATTTTGGCAGTTCTAAGTCGATGCTAAATTTAGGAACATCAACTTTTTAAGGCACACTACTAAGATCTGAACTATGCACACACTTTGTGCTTTTTTTGTAAGTTTGGACCAACTTTTATGTAAAAATTTTACAAAACCAAAACAGGGCACTGATTTATTTGGTATTTCTTTTTACAAAACTACCTTTAGTCAAGAAGTCACTATCAGTCTTTGCACTGCTTTCAGTGTTATCTATGGAAAGTGTTTGTGCTCATTTCAGACAATAAAATAGTCTCTCTTGATACTATTTATACATACTTTGATATTGATTTGATTTACTTTCACAATTGTTTGTCTAGTAGAATATCCAATCCATCTTCCAATATTTGTATAAGTATCTGTTTTACTTGAACGGTAAGTGCCTTAATGATGTAATCTTAAGGTCTGAAGAACATTTCATTATATTTATAAGACTGTTCGAAGGTAATTTGTATTTTGGTACAAAGTATTAATATTTACATGAAACCGAGGCTAACTTAAGGATAAATGGGACAGATAGTTCTTAGGAGTTTTCATATCCTATTAGGTGAAATATTTATCTTCTTTTCCCCCCAAAATTATAACCATCCCCATATTTAATTAAATGAAATAAAATGAAAATGTATGGATAATAATCAAAAAGGTAGGCTTCTTTCAATTTTCTGTACCTTTTAACTACTCTACCAAATAAAAATTGGTGTCCTGTTTTATTCAAACAGTTTTTTTATTAAAAACAGATAGCGATTTGTCACTATCTTCTAATAAGTACTTTGCTCATTTTAAATGTAGCTGCTGTAGAATGTTAACTTTGGTTACATAAACAGCAATCATTGCAACTGAAATTTAAATAATTTTAATTTATAGAAATTAGGATGGTGCCAATAAGTTCTACATTATATTATTCTACTAATCTATTCATTTAATTTGAATAGGTTTTTAATTCATTGTATCTTAAATTGCAAAGGAGGGAAAACAAGGTTCCCAAAAATCAAAATCGGCCTTCTGGAGAGGCTTTCTGGCATTATATATTTGTTTCTTGAAGAGACGCCCCTCCCTTAGATAAGCCACTGGCTATGATTTCTTTGTACTGAAATGTTTTTAAATGGCCATATTGAAAAAAAGTCTTTCCAACTGATAAATAAATAAAATAAATAAATAAAAAACCAACTGATTATTCAACTGGCAAGCTAGTGCATACATGTACTGGTAGCTATTTTCTAAAAATATAATTGCATGTAATTTACATGTATACTCAGCTGAGTTTATTAGAAGCAATTCAACACACCATTGCTTTTTTTAAATGAGTGAGTACTGCATTTGTAGAGTGTCAAATATATGTGAACTTTCCTATAAATACAACTATGGTCATCCTCGGTAGAGAATTCCTGATTGAAAATAAAAACAGCTAAACTGGAATAAAATATTTTGTAATTTTAGCTGTTAATGCTGATATTTCAGATAAAAGAACTGGCCTGGAATGGGTGTTTCTGAATAACCTTGTTTAGTAAAAGTAAACATCAACATATCTCTTTGATAAAATTTGTTTGATATTCAGATTTTGGATTAAATTCCCAGTGATCCTTTTGATTGCTTATTAGTTTTCACATGAATTTTATATATTACAAGGAGTATATTAAGAAAACATGTCAGAAGTTTCAGACCAGACAAAATATGCTATTTTTCTTTGTTTTTATTTATACAGTATTGGTCATATATGATACTGCAGTACTAACAGGAAATTTAGAAGTTGTAACGTATTTTCATTTACATTTCTTAAAATATATCAAACTTAATTAAGGCCAGTTTCTCTTACAAAGCATTACATAGACTACTTCCATTCTTTAGTGCTCTGATATAGCTCTGTTGGAAATAATGTCAGATCCCTGTCTACTTATGAAATAAATAGGTTGAATCAATAAATACACTATTTTTATTCAGGGAAAGCCATGGTCTTTACTTTTACTGATCAGATCACTTGGTTTCCTAGTTTAGTATTTAAAAAATTGAATGTAAAGTAGAAGGTACAATGAATGGTCTTTATCGAATGGTCTTTATCGAAAAGTTATTTTATGTGTTCAAGACAAAATGTTTTAAAATATCCATGTTCACATAGATAATTAGAACCATTAGGAAACAGCCTGCCAAAACTTGTGATTTTACAGTGTTGTATTTTAGGCATTTCTCTGACTAAAATCCCTGTTTCACATAGTTGGTCAATTAAATTTCAAGACTGATTTCCATTATTTTTAGAATGGACCCCATTCTAAACAGCAATGTAAAATTAAACATGCAAGTTAGAATTTAAGAACTCCTGCTACAAATAAAACTATCCTGCTTATATGATAATTTCTTCCCTCTTCTACAAGCACAAGGGCTCTCTGAAAAACTTTTAAGACACTTTGGAAAACCAAGAGGCCTTGTATTGGAAACTATAAACACAAAGAAGAATTGATAAATTAACTCCATCCTCCTTTCTTCTGTAAAATCCTAAACTTAGGGCATATATCAATATAGTGTATCTACTAATAGGTAAAATGCTAGATCTCTTCTGTAATTTGGGATTCATTATTTTAACTTAAAGGGAGGAAACTGCTTTTTCAATATAATTTTTTTTCAAGGAAAAGTACATGACAAATTATCTTTTTTCAATATTTATAAAGAAAGTATATATTTTAATAGTATCTTAAATTCAGATGAAACAAAGTAGCAGCCTTGGCACTCATTCTATAATTTAAGAAAGTTATTGAATTTTGTTTAATAGGACAGGAGATTAAGGACTGAATCCTATATTTAATTTACTAAGTTCATATAACATGCAATGCACATCTTTAGAAGAATTAAAAGATCTTCTAAACAGGAAAGTTTTTTGAAGACTTCAGCCTTCTATGTCAGTGTTTTTCAACCACTGTGCCGTGGCACACTAGTGTGCCGTGACATAGTGTAAGGTGTGCCGTGGGAAAAACACCCGCC